CGCCGCCTCGCCCCGATCCGCTGCCATTGACTTTCGTTGGTGCCCAGACACTCCTGCCCCGTCTGCGGGGGAAGCTTTCGCCTCTGTGAGAAACTCGGAGCGAGCGGGCGATGCTGGAGAAGTAGTTTGTTAGAGCATCTTCCCCCAGACCCAGGCTCTAAAGCTGCCAACGTGCCTGATCTGTCTTCTTGCAGGTTGTGGATGCTCAGGCAAACACCACAATATTTGCAATGCCAAGTACAAAAAAGGGGAGCAAGAAGAGGAGTGCTAGTGCACAGGAAAGATGAGGCTTATCAATGAGCCAAAACAAGTTTTCCATTCCTCAGCGAAGGACGTATTTCAGGGGAGTGCGTTACCTCACTGCTCGCCAACAAGAAATGATGGCTGGTGTTGCCCTCCTATTTGCTCCTGCTCAGAGCAGAGAGCAGCTTCCTGGGGAACTGAAGATTATCCTCACCTTGCTTCACCTGCAAAAAGAAAGGCCCACAGTAACCTGTTGTTTGGCCACTGATTAGAGGCCAGAGCCCCAGCACTTCTTACCAGAGCGATCAGGCATTTGGGATTTTCTCTGGAGAGTCTCAGCCAAATTTTTACACAACAGAGGCTTAGCCCTCTCAAGCCCCCTACTTCAAATCGCGTCACTTAGGAAAGACAAAATACCCTATAGATGTGGCTCATGATGCTGGTAGGAACCCTGTGGATTAGCCATCAGCCACACATAATTATATAATTACACCAGCATCTTTTCAAATCCAGATGTTTAAATATATTTGGAAGGTTTAGAGCTTTTGCTTACTTTTACTAGTAAATAAAAATGGGGGAGGAGGGGAAGCTTTTCTCATTTTTAACTAGTGCATTATTTTTAAGGCACAGGAAAAAGAAAAGATTAAACCCCCTCATCATGATAAAGGGCCTCAGCCGTGTGGTGATGGTCACAGCAGCCAGTCCAGAGCTGAAGCATAATGCCACAGCCAGAAGGTTATCAAAAGCTCCACAGAAAGTCCTGGCACAGAAAGGCTCCCGTCACCCTCCTGCGAGGATAAGCACTGGTCCTGCCCCGTGCTGCCATCTGCAGACCCCCCCTTCCCCTTTCCCAAAGCTGTCAAGGGAGGGTCTGGATGGTCTTTGTTGAAATAGGTGTTAAGAGATGCTTCAGTCCCACAGTTCAGATTTCTCTCCCCTGCCCAAAGGAAGGTAGAGGAATTCGGCTGAACTCCCTGCCAGAAACAGACATTTCCCAACGGGATCTCTTACTTGGAGGCATCCTTTGTTTGCTTTCTTAATGCCAGTTACCTTTAATCCCAAAATCACCAGGGTCCATTTCAAGTAAATCTGGAAAGGAAACCGGGATGAAACCGAAGAAGAGGAATTGCAACGAGGAGTCCTACTGCATGGGAGGGTTTCAAAGAAATAAGGTGAGAGGTGTGACATTTCTGCAGTGTAATTTCCTCACACCTGAGGCACTAAGGAGCCTCCTCTCTTCCCCCCTCCCCAAACCACTCGCTCACTCTCAGGCCCGGAAACCCCAACGGAAGAAGCACAAAAGGCATTACACAGCAGACAGGTCTGTGCAACGGCTTCGCTCCTCCAGCCAACGCAGTTGCAGCAAGTGAAATCCACCCAGGTAATGCTTCGCCACTACCTTGCGACTCTTGTGAGCATTACTGTGTGCAAAGCACTTAATACAACCTATCAAAGTAATTTCTGAATGAAACCATTCAGATTCTTGAAAGGCAATCTGCAACCCAACATTTTCTGCTTTCAAACCTGAAGGGCTGCACTGCTATTACTTCCAAACTGCCATGATGCAAAGCAAAATTTAAAAGGTATACTTACAATTATTTTTCCTCTGCTCTGAAGGGGGAAAAAAATCCCGTATTTTAGTGGAAAAATGGCTTCACTGGAGGAGGCTAAACTGAAAATGTACTTCATGCCTCAAACACTCTGGCACATTCTTTATCTTGGGTCACTTTTGCGTAATAACTTTTGTACCTTTAATACACAAATTGCAGTGGGAAAATAGCTTTGAAATACTAAATATAACACAGCGAACACTGAGAAAGTATTTGTTTGGACTGTTAGCTGCTACAGAATAATTTCGTGACAAAACCCATGATTTATTTCAAGAGTTAGGTGAGATGCAGTAAGAAAGCTGCGAGAGGTAAGAGAATGCAGCCTTTGTTTTGTAGTACAGATGAGCTACAGCACAAAAACTTGCCAGGTAAGAGGTGTGAGCCAGTTTCCGTTACATTGAAACTCTAGTATATTAGATGGATCCTTATTTTATATGCTAGGCATTACTATTTCCATCCTGCTCTCACAGCTAACGGTGGGGAAAAAGCAGGGAAGAAAGGCAATTGGAAGGGTAAGTTCTTGCCTACCTGAGGAACGGCCCTGGTTTAACAAGCAGGCAAAATCCATTTTTTAACTGACTGAAGTTAAACCAATGCTGACTGCATACATGCTCACCTTCAAGTACAATTTACATTTTACCAAGTTTTTCTCAATCTCTACCACAGATTAAGAAACAAACGCAGCTTTAACAAGCTTTCAGGTCAGCTGGGATTGCTGGAACAAGTACAGGTTCATGAATTCAAAACATGTTAAGGAGGCCAAGGAGGATAAAAATCTTTGGATAGGGATTTCTGGAGGCTATAGTTTGAGAGAAAAGTATCTGGAAAATAATGCCACTTCATTTAAGCTGGTGCACTGAAAGAAATAATGGACAGGAAACATGTTTGTGAAGGATGGTTTCACAGCATCCAAAAGGGCAATTCCCAGAGATAAAAAATAACGTCTTTGTACTCCCATATCCAATCCATTTGAACACTGTACCGTTCTTTTCAGCAAATTACAGCTTCCATTGTAGAGCTGTAAATGACCAGCTCTCTAGAAAATAGTATCATTTACTTTTTCAGTTTTTGTATTTAACAAAGACTAGGGACAGAACAGACAAAATCTGAAGGAAGAAGGGAACCAGCACGACAATGCATGAAATTGCAGGCAAGTGAAACAATCTCAAAACAAAAGAACCTTTGAACTACGTATCACTCTCTTCCAGTAGAAGAAACAACATAAATGACTAAAACAAATTTATACTTTATAAATGTTCACTTTTATTCAAAAATTATTGCATACACAATTAGAGTCACTTAAGCAGCATATTGAGTGAACTGCAAATATTTACTGTAGCCTTTTTATCCTTGTAGGTTTGCTACTGAGGTCTATCACTTTTTTATTTCCTCTCAATACCTTTGTCTGTTTTGCTAAACTAACAGGCTTCCAAATTATTAACAACAGTTTTCTAACAAACAATGACTGTAAACATAATAAAAACAGCATGCCATTTTCCCTTTAAAGTTATGAAGCTAGATATGCTTCTGCAATGGAAGGACTCATTTTTTGACAACTCAACTGAACCGTGATGTATACACAGATAGTACTTATGACTTAGTAAGAGAGTAACATGTTTAGATGGATAAAGCGTTCACTTGTGATACCTTCAATTCAAATGAACAAAACCACAGAAAAGGTGGGAACAATTCATTGTATAATCCTCATTAGCAAGCAAGAGGCTAGGAAATTAGTAATAACAGTAGCACAGATTGATATTTAGGAACAACTAACAGATAGGCATTTTGTAATTGTCACCAAAACTGTTTTCATAATTTTATCTGATACTAGTAATATCTCATTTTGTCAGCACTGAACAATTAATACAGTCTCCCAAAAATAAAGGAAAGATTAATTTCTGAGTATAAAATGCCTGAACATGCAGAGTAATATTTATACAGCTTCTGTGGAGGAAATACAGACAGTTATTGGGCCAGAATTGCCACCATGATACTGTCCCAGCAAGTATGCTATGGATTTTTAAGTCTCTGCTTGATCAGGTGAAGAAGTTTAGGAGTATCATAATTTGAACATGCTAGTAATATTGTGCAGGAAGGGAGATGGGGAGGTGATAACTGGGAGTCAGAAGAGAAACGGAGCACACTGCATTCAACATAGTATTCCTTCACAGCAAGATACTGACTTTTCTGTGGAAAATTTGCGGACCTTTCTGTGGGAAGGGCAGTGGAAACGACAGTCAAGTGACCTGAATCCAGGCAGGGCTCTGCTGCACAAGATGAGGACTTAGCAGCCCTGAAACAAAAGGAGGCATCCCTCCACCACCCAGCCCCCCTTCCTCCCTGCCAGGATTGCATCATCACAAGAGAGAGCAGGCAGGCGGACTAGCTCACAGCACTCTCCTCTCCTCATCTTCGAATTTATTCTCACACCAAGATCTGCGATTTACTATTAATCAGTGCTTTCAGCCGATGGATTAATTACTAAGAGATGCTGGAAATTGTAATAATAAAGTCTGTCATTAATGGGACAAAGTGCTGGAAGTTTGGTGGATCACCACCAAAGATCAGCATTTACTACCAGTCACTCTGTAACAGTAACAATTATTACTTTTCTTTATTGCCCAACAGGGAAAGTTGTTCCCCAGTACCAGACAGCGCTGGCTTCATAGCGAATGCACAGTAGGTTACCCAGCCTCACTCTATGCACAGGACAAACACAGCTGACAGAAGCTCAACTGTATCAGTCCATTTAATTTTCAAATAAAGATTGAGAGAAGGAAAAGAGAGATGGACTGAAAAGAGAGAGGAGGTAATTTCCATCTTAGAACAAAGATTATCTTGTCTCATAATTAAATGTTATGTTGCAATTTGATTAATTCTATTTTACAGGAAATAAATTAATTCTTCATCCAATGTATTATCTAGACAGGAAATGTTATCAGTCACAGACAAAGCTATTAGTCTGGTATTATGCAAAACATTTGCTAATCTGTGCCATATAGCTAAGCCTCTGAGAGATAACTGTCACTAATTTCTACTCTGAGTTTTAAAAAAAATCTCACTCAAGAAGCCAGTTCTTGTTTATAACATGTTTGATACCACTCAGTGTTAAAAGCATATGTATTAAACACCTATTATTCTATCAGTGATTTTAAATCAGGAACATTTTTGATCTGGAAATCCAACAGCATCTGTCCAAGTGCTTTGCCCTGTAAGGAAAAAAAAAAACAAACCAACATTTCATTTTACTATCTGAATATACCACCTTTGTAAATTAAGTTTTTAAAAATGGCTCAATAGGGTATTTTTCCTATAATCAGTGTAAAAATTCAGTATGTTTTGTAAGTTTTATGAGTATTTATCTCTACATACACTTTTATATAAATTTTGGGTGAGTTTTATCAAGCCTTGGATTGTAGGTTATCCAAAGCTGTATTTACCTTTTCCATTTATTTGGCCTTCTCACTTGTGAATCAATATAATAAAGTAAGGAAAACTATACAGTTGAGTTTTCAAGCATCTAAACCTGAACAGATTGAATAGTTTCTTCAATTTATTGGTACCTAGTGCTAAATCAATTTATTTGGGGTTCAATTCTGCTATCTGATTCATACATAGCATCATCTTATTTTGTGAACAGTCTTCTTGACTATGCTGAGATTATTTGTACACTTAAGCATTTCTCAGCCTATAATGGCAGAACAGTGCTTTGCTGTAGCCACAGGATCGCCACATTCAGGGATCTCATCTTCAGGTTTAGATGTTTCAAATCTTTAATACTCAAATTGTACACTTACAAAAAATGTTCATTTCAGATTCACATAATGTGGTCAACACAATAGATCTCCTATCCATCTATTTTTCTCTTTCAGTTTTCTATTAATTATCAGTATTTTAATTATAGGAGTTATAGGCTAAGCTACAGGAGTTGTCGCAGAGTTAATGGTTCCTGTATGTACTAGGAAACACTTAATCAGAATTGTCTAGTAAATCTGCATTCTCCAAAACATGACAGCCTTTTTGAGAAGCTAATTTTGCTGGTGCATCTAAAAACACAGGTAACACATCATAAAGAACATAACTGATTTGAAGGCTCTCTTAGTAGTTTCTTGGCACGTCTGTTTCACCAAATATTCGAAATCAACTTTCTACTTCCCTATGTTGTTTTCAAACCTTAAAACGGTTAAGTAGATAACATATATTAACAGGAAATTAAAAGGAACTAAAAAAGTCAAAACCAAAAGCTTCCAGTTGCAGCCCAAAAGTTGGTTATAAAGAGACTGTGTAATACATAGTTATAAAAGATAACTACATTAAAATCAATGCTTTGATACATGCCTGTGGGTCACTTCTTAGGGATGCTATGCCACCACCACCGAGGGAATTCTTCAGAACAAAATTTAATCCATGGATTCCTGGCAACTCGTATCTGTAAAATAAAATCTACACATTGTTTCTCACGAGATTTTGAAAGAAACACTTGTACAGAACATCAAGCAAAAGACAGCGTGCAGAAACTTCATGCTTGTAATGGCATCCCCCACTGCTGAGCGAGGCCTAAAAGCTAACTGAAGATTAACCTATGGCCTTCCCTGCCTTCTCGTTCCTTCCCCTTACTCCAAATCAACAGTCTTTAGTAGTTTTAAAGTAGGACCATAAAGTAATCATTCTCCTCTCATTCAACTTCAAAACTCATTCATTTCTAATGAGATTGTTTTCTACATTTTTTCTAAGAGTTAAAGCCCATATAGAAAGCTCCGTGGGCCCGAGGTTCAAGATCCAATATGAACTCAGAGAACACGGTGGGCAGAGGGAAGTATTTTTAATATTTCCTAGTTCTGATACTGAAAACTACAAATCGCTGAATTCCTGGAACTCGCTTTTGCTAACAAAGGCTGCCAGCTAATTGGGAAGGCACCCTCTTTATTACTGAGAAATAACTAGATGAAACCTCTTTTGACCAACTACAGATAATTTTCTAACAAATGAAAAGTAGAGCTACATTTCAATGCTTTCTTGGAGCCACGTACTTTGTTCAGATAAAATTTTTTTTAGTGTGACAGGCTTATTTTTCTGTTCCGTTGCCACTGTAAGCATTTTTCCATCCTTGCTTTTGACTGGTGCAGTTCCAATTTGGAAACTTTTGTAGAAGTTTGGCAAACAGCTCTGTGGTTTCCTAACAAAGTTGTTTCAAATTCCATAAATAGGTCTATTTGCCTCTCCTTGCACACTTTTTCAGTGTTTTGTCATCTTCCTTGTATTCTTCTTGTTTTTCTTTGGTTTTGCTTTCCTCCAATATTTTCTTTGTCTAAGGACTTGATAGCTTTCCTTTTTTCCATAGGAAAGGATTTAATCAGAACATTAGCAAGACATGAGGAATAATGGAGAAAGACAATATCCAATTCTTGCTCTCTGTCTCCAGATGTTTGACTGCTGCAATTTAAATCACACTTCTTCCAGTGCCACCTATTTTTCTTTAGTCATCTATCTGATCTTCATCTGTTTGGGACAGATTCTTCAAATCTGTCCTCCGAAATAGCTGGAATTTCTTGCAGTGCTCAGTACTGCCAATTTTGTCAGTCTGACGTTTGTCTTTTTCAGCTCCTTTTTAGCATTGTGAAAGTTACAGCTGTTGCTGATATTCACAGCTCTATAGGCCCTTGTATCTTGGGCATATGACCCAAACTTTTCATGGAAGGAGATGTCATCAGCCTATGATTCTGCTAAGTGGCCTGGCAAACACTTTAGTTCTCACTATGCTCTTGCAAGCAGTAGTCAGTGTCTCACAGGCAAGGAGTTTTCACTGTTCTTTCTACTCTTTCATTACCACACTCTACTTTAGTATTAACATTATTAGTTGTTATTAAGAAGAAAACTGCTGTTAGCATTCTGTTGACCTTCCTTGAAAACTAGTTGCCAGGCAACATTATCACGCTTAAAGGCAAATCCATTGGGAAGGCAGTAAAGTTCGATTAATCCAACAGTGCTCTACTAGACAACAGGAATATGAAGAATAAAGCCACTTCCACAATAAGTCGTCTATCTAATTTACTAAATTTAATAGCATAATCAACTACAGAGCATGATCAGAGGACCCCACAAAATTTTCAACTAAAAACTCAATATAAATTACTAATAACCATATACAGTGAGAACTAGAGGTCTACCAAAATACTACACTGTAAAGTTTACCCTGAAAAACTGGCAAAGACTTCTAGGCAGCAAGTGGTTTCACAACTGGCAGATCTCTCCACGAGAACTAGACTAACGGGATATGTATTCCAGAAGCTAATACCTCAGCTCGCAAAAGAAGTTTCATGAAAATCAATCATTTAAAAAAAATCAGGAGAGAAACTGAGGAGCCTACAAAAGCAGAAGCAAATGACAAAAAGAGTAAAAGAATTTCATTTCACTTTCTCCAATAATTCTGGCAAAGGGAGTATGTAATACAAGCAACAGATCTTAATTTGGAACATCACAGAATGGCACATTCACTTCAAGTACTTGGAGGAAATATTTACAGTAAAATACTCTAGCTAAAATTAGGATTACAAAATAATACACAAAGGGCAGCATTTTCAATATTTTAAGGCCGTTTGAAGCATCTGAGCATCCAAAATATTTCTGCACAAAAAATACACTCCCACAATAAAAAGAGAAAAAACACTATAACGATCATAATAGTCTTAAGCAGCAACAATACATCAACCAAAATGTTGGCATGCATTTACCCAGCATAATTAAACAACTTAAGTTTAATTAACTGAGATCTAAAAAGAAGAAAATATTATCTAATTGTACAATTCAATCAAAAGTTTTAAGAGCTGCTTTTAAAAAGCACAGAAAACAAATAAACCCTTCAAAGAATACTAAGGCTGTGACAGAAACCAATAAAACAAGGAAAATTCACTGTTCTAGCTGAACTCCTATGCTTATGCACAATGGGGTGCCTGCTTAACTACTTCCTTTAAAGCACTGTCTGTACATATTCAAAGAAATCAGGTTTCCCTGTGAATTTCCTGTTAAAAATGCATGGAAATAATAATGGTACAAAAATTGCAAGAAACAGACAGGATTCCTCCCATCAGAGGAAGGCAGGAACTGAACCCATAGGCTAAAAGAGGTATTTGCATATGAGAGATACTGTAGAGAAGTCATTTTTTTCCCCATAATAAATAAATATACATACAAAAAAGTAATCTAGAAGCATCAGTATCCACATTTCTTGTTCTTCAGCTTTTAGTAAAAATATCCCATAAGAAGAAATCAGCTGTCATATTTTTATTTCCGAGCATTGGAACGCTCTCAAAACATGAACATAACCATATTTCAGAAGATGAAACCAGCAAATTCTCACAGAATAATTTTACTATCCTTCTTAAATGACTGACCTAATACCACTAAATGAAAAGTTTCTTATTCCATTTCTTAAGATTATCAGATCTCAATTTATAAGAGTCTTGTATACAAAACACCATACAGATAACCTAGCAGTAACACACATGGCAAGATGGCTAAAGGAAAAAAAAAAAAACCGAACCCAAAACCTTTCACATGTAGTATGATCTTCTAGCTGCTTATCTTACTACAGCATTGATACTATTTTTAATGATGGTACCAATCAGAATTCGACAAACTGACATCCTTTTCTAAACTTTGAGCAAATTTCTGTCTGAATACTGCTATCTCTTCCTTACCCTCACTTAGATTGGTCTGAGCTTTCATGTTGACCTTGTGCATCATCCTATGCCCAAGAAAAACTGTGATTAACTGTTAAGAATGTACTCTACATAGCGGGGGGAGCAATCACATAGGTTTGGGGCTTTGGGGTATGGGGGGAAGGGTTTGAAAGACAATCTTTTGTTACTGTGTTACCTGAAAATCTGGAAGTTTATGAGTTTTCAGTTTTCTCTATCAAAATAATCCCACCTTTTCTCTGTTCAGTACACCTATTTAATAGCTTTAATGAAAAAGAATGAAAGGCAACTGGCTGACAATCTCAGTTCTGCAGTGAGGCAGAGCCATGGTCAGTATGTTTTTAGTAGCGAAACTAATACATATTTTTTAACCACTCACAATTTAAATAAAGGAAATAAAGGAAAATGAAAGAGTAAGATAGCCCTTTTTATGACAGTTAAAGCAAAAAAATAAACAAGTAATTTAAAAAGAAACTATACAATCTGAAGCACATGAGCATAATCCTTATAATCCTAAATATTTCCACAAAAGGATTTGTTCTTTTTCCTCCGTAGTTTTTCAATTCACTCACAGAGCTCCATTATCACATCACTAAAGAAAGCCAAAACCAGGACAAATAATCTAATTAATCAAAATAAATTGGCTTCATCCAGACACAGCAAATTTCAACTTTTATTTATGAACATAAACAGCATTAAGGAACGACAATGAATCAATTTCTAAAAGTATCATTAGGAGGCATGACATTTTTTATTTCTTCCCTTCTCTGCTGTGTTTCAGAGGAAATTCAATTACATTTCTTGGTATCACAATCTATTAGATACATAGATTTGTTAGCACTTAGGAAACAGTGGGTAAGATCTGCACTGAGCTGCTTAAGAAGAAAAAGAACAGCACTTACAACTCAAAGATCAGGGGTTAAAAAAAACTCCAAGCTCTCTCTGAGCTTTGAGCTATACCTTTCTGACTCAAGCTCTTTGAACAAGCAAAAAGACACTTAACAGTTTATCCATCACCCATGGAAATATATAATGATTTTGGCAGAATCTCCATATTTGCAGAATAATTGACTTTCTATCAAAACAGGTTTTAAAAGACTGAATGGTTTTTTGCAATACTAAGCTTTTGTTTGTTTTTAAAGAGAAACAAAGGTTTAAAATCTGTTGACTGTTCTACTGGACATCCTTAGGAGAACGAGCCCTATTATCTCATGCTACAAGAACAGTATATGTTTCACTTGCCTGTCCCCAGGAAGGACCCTGAGCATCAGCCAAAGATACCATGAAAACAAAAATGTTACATATGCTGTCTGCTAGCAGAGGTTATTGTTTTGTAGATGAATACCAGGTAAAAGTGTCCTGTTTAGGATGTATTCTCTTTCATATCTTAAAAAGGGAAATTAGCTGTAGTTTTTTCTTTAAATTCTGGCTTGGTATATGTGGCAAAAAAAGTGAGCGAGAGTGGGGTACTCAAAGGAATACTTTAAAGTGAGTGAACTTCATGTAGATTAAAATGTTCTGCAGAGAAGGGATAGGATGAGGCATGTTTCTGATGGAAGATCAGGTAAGTTTGGGCTCCAGTCTATGCTGGCTGTAATGTCTTTTAGGTAGTGTTTTTAGGGATTTCAAACTCCCAGATCTACAGTGGCTCTGAGGCTTAGGAGGCTTCAGTTATTAAGGCTCCTGCAGTCCCCAAATGGTTCAAAAAACAATGGAAAGATACATTTCTCAAAGGACATTAGAAGTTATTTCTATTTTGTAGAGACATTCTGTACTGGAACAGAACAAAGAAATAGCCCCAACAATAATATCCTAGTTCTGGGAATTTAAATGCCTTCACTAAACGGATTCACTGCCTTTGTCCGACTTCAGGAGATGCTCAAGTTCATGTTCTTTTTCAATGACTATTGCTCAAGTTGTTATTTAAAAAGGCAAAGAAAGATACATAAAAAATATTGAAGACAATACACACAGGTTTGCAATATTTATGTTAACATACTTTAAGACAACTTCTGATACCATCATGTATCTACCGTACAACTGTGGACCGAGCAGCAAGCTACTCACCTTGTTACTAGTTCTTCTTCGGGTTTTTCTCGCTCTAAAAGGTGTTGGAAGTAATTCTCCAGGGCTTGAGCCGTTAAAGTTTTCTTTAGGTATGGATAGTAGAGGGGATGCCGAGCTATCACACCTGTTTGGTATAACTGGTGTTAGTTGGAATAGGAGCTGTTAAAACCAATTTGTATTTATTCTTTCAAAACTGATTTGAGATCCTCCTCTTACTGAAACTGTACATATGGATCCTCTTTAATGAGCTCCTGAACAAAAAACAATAGTATGACAGCTTTCCCTCTGTCAGTAGAGAGGTAGTGTGGAGCATGACATGAAAGAATGCTCCCAGACTAAGTGATTATTGAACCTTTTCTGGCTGCAAACGTCCCTGCCACTGAAAGACACCTAAAGAACAACAACATCGCAACAAACAACTTACATGCAGTTCTCTTCCCCTAAATGGTTTGCAAGACTTAGACAAGTAATTGCAATTAACCATAATAAGGCATGATCAGTGACTCAAGGTTTGGTCCTTGCCTCACTCCTTGCATAAGATCCTGACGTAAGTGTGAGAAATCACAATTACATTGTTATTGCTGTAAATACACTTTCATAAGCTTCAGGTAACTTTATGCTGAAGCTGAGGTTCCACAGCAGGATCAGGAAAGCAGATCTGTGTCACAGAGATCTTTTTATCTGTGGACTTCAAAGCTAAATTAATCTTAGAGGTCAAGTTTGTTGTTGTTACTGTTGTTCCTTAATAAAGCAGTAGTGTCTTTATACCTGAGGAAGTCTATTAGCTATGCACCATTATGATTTGGCAACAGTGCAACAGTGGTCAACCATGGGAAAGGAAAAAAAAAAAGAAAAAAGAAAAAAAAAAAAATCAACATTCCTTCATTCTTCAACCCAAAAACCAGTTTCACAAACAAGGACAAGAAAACTATATTCCTAAATATAAATGAACAAAATTCATCACTTCTAGCACGACAGCTAATAGCAAATCAAATCCCAAACGCACCTTTAATTCATACTGAGCTTTGTACACCACACGCTCTCATCTTCCAACAAGTAAGAGAGCCAATTGTTGCATGCAGAAGTAAGGAATAGAAGGAATTATTAAACAATGCAAGAAGCAGCAAAATCAATGTAAAGAGACTGCACACTGAAATATACCATTTGGATTAACAATGTAATTAAAAACATTCTCTTACATGCAAGAACAACTTTGGTATTTCCTAACACTGACAATGTTTTAGCCATATACATGTTACAAAATTCATGTGTGGAAATATGATCAGACAACCAAGAGATTATTATTACATAACACATACACATGAAGGAGTAGCAACTAATGTGTAAAGGAAACCTTAAAAAGGCATTTCTTAACTTTGGAGAGCTCAACTTTGAAACCCTAAACAAAGATCTTCCTTTGTAGTATGACATGCAAGGATTTTTTCTTAGTACCTCAGATTTCAACAGCTGCTAACCAGAAAACTACAGATATTTCATTAGTAAAATCCTTGTTTTATACAGATTTTGTTTTTGTTTCAGCACAGAAACAATTAAAAAAAAAAAGTGATGTGAGAGATTTCAAAAAAAATTAAGAGCACTTGATACGTAACTCTTATTTAAGAATCTTACATCACTTCAGAAAGCAAGAAAAAGAAAAATACCTATGTTTGCAGAGTTGCCTTTGTCTCCACTTCTAGTATAGGCAAGATCTTCTAAGCGATAAGTATGTGGACCGCTTGGCAGATCTATACAATATAAAAGTGAATACATTTTAATGATAGCTACAAATAATAGTACGTTTTGAAGAAGTAACCATCACTTTAAGTGTATCATTTTTGCATTGTTTGTAGTACTCCTGAAAACATTTCCAAAGCTTTCTTCTCACAGGAACACTCAGAGAACAAGAGGTGAGGCTGGGGCCAAAATGACAAAATTGATCCCTCCTGCTCCATCTCCCAAACCCCTTTTACCTTTTTACAGCCAAATGCTGTGCCAGGCATCCCCTCTTCCACCACCCTTGAATATGAAAATTCGTCTTGGTCTTAGCAATGTGGTATCTCTGAAGGAGGCAGAGCAGCTACTTGTCATTTCTTGACTAGCTGACAATTTTTGTCCCCTTAACACACATATCTCTCTGCTTCCAGTGCAGGTGGAAAATACATGTAGTTGCTACTGTCTTGATAATTCTGTAATGTCTGTTTATTCTGATAATGTCTGTAGAAAACAGTCACAATTTAAAATTCCTTTTCAAAACAACACGTGTCTCTCACTTTCATACGCACTGTTATAACAGTTACTTATTCAGCTGCATAGAAGAAACATAAGATTTTTTTTTCAAATTACTAATTTTGTAAATATCTTAGTATTACCTAAAAAAAGGTCATAAATGCATGCTCTATAGGAAGCCAATCTTAATTTTTTAACTTGTCAATGTCTGAGTATTGGACTTTCAAGCCTTTAGGAACAAAGATTGTTGCACTTCATTGAACAAAGTTCATATTAAGTATTATTTTTATCCATTTACATATCAAAAAAAGCAAACCCACTCCTGCCCAAATCCAGAAATTCAATCTCACAGTTTATATACGAGGTTTGATGGTTAAGATACATGGCACAGACCTCTTGCAATCATTGATTACTAAAAGTAGTAGGCTGTCACCTTCTAGTTTCTGTTCCCCAAAGTGAGAGATGAAGCGCTCACTTTGCCACCGAGTTTCAGTTATTTGCTGATAGCAGCATAATACTGAAACTTGAAGCGTAGATTACATCCCAGTTTTTAGGCGGTGAGAATCTAGCAATTTCCAGCCAGTTTTGCTTCTGATCCAACTTCCCTATGGCTCTCCCTGTCAGCCCTATCAGCTCTCCTTTTATTCCTGGCTTTTCAGTCCCAGCATCTCTAACAGACTCCTCTACGCTCCTGACTCGCAGTAGTCTTCTCACCCCTCAGTTGCCCTCTCCTCCGTCCCCTTCCTGTCGTTTTCTCATCCTTCCGCACTCAAGTGGCAGCTCTCCCCCTCTCTGCTCCTTGGACACCAGTAGAGGGAACATTCAGAGCAGGGAAGCAACAGTCTTCCTGCTTCGCCTTCTGTCACAACTGCTGCTGCTACAGCTACTGGTGGCAGCCACAGGAAGCAACTGACAAAAGTCCAAAACTTAATTTTTTGGGTTTTTTTGTGTAACACACCAAACAATTCAGTCCTGGGCACATGCTTGTCACAGAAAATTTCAGTCTAATGTGTTAAAAACTGTCAAATTTTAAGGAATTGAAGAGAGGGTCTTGTAAACCAATTTTGTTGGACGAACTTCATGTTGCAAGATACAATGCAATTTGAAAATGCAGTCTACCTTTTCTGTATTGTTATTGCTTCTGCTGAGGATATAAAACTACTGTGTTGTTTAGGTTTTTTTTTTTTAATTTTAGGGACTGAAAGACCCAACACTAAAGATATTATGCTCTAAATGTGCCACATATAGAATGCTGGCCAAAGGCAGACTATATTAAGAAGTCCAATTACACTGATTTAAATTCAACCACAAAATACCAATTAATGTCTAAATTATACTTAAAATCAAAATTAACACTGTGGTAAGTTCCAGTATGATTTAAAGTGCACCTACTACTAAGGCATGGATAGACAGCGCTCTGAACTGTGTCAAGTGATGAGGTAAAAACCCAACCCCAGCCAAATCGCCATTACCTTCAACTCCTTTCTGTCCACAGAGAATTGCTAATCCTCAGACATGAGCCAGGCTGATACAGAGAGCTTTGGCAAAGCTGGGTAAGAGAGGAACTATGTCCAAGTCCTACTGGCTGCAGTTTTTACTGTCCCTATAAGAAAGGGAGGCTGCAAGTCTATGGCAGTGGCAGCTGAACCCAAAAGTTCATTTGGGTATAGGGTGGTAGAGACTGTGAATGACAAAAATGCCTCACTACAACATTGACACATAATTTGTATAGTGTATCTTAGTTCATGGTACTTATTTGGTTGAAACAGGTCAGGCAAGAGTAGCTACTTACTGGCACATTTGAGTGGCAGTAATAGGGAAAACAGTAACAAACAACTGAGGGCTCAGCACAGCAACCTCTTCTACCGGCACAGCTGGATCAGATCTTTCTGATCCACCTACTCACACCCCAAACAACAACATATCAATGTTAAACTGCTTTAAGTAAGACTTAAATTTTAGAATGTAGATTAGGTCGCTGTCAAAGATGAGCTGAAAGAGTGATTATAGTTTAGTCTTCACTGTTAGTCATGGTAGAATGAAATTTGAAATGGTGAAAGCATACAATGAAGGAGTTAACAAAGGAGGTTTGTTTTGAGCTTGATCCTCACAGTCTTTTCCATGTTCACTTCCATGAAAAATGCAAACAGAAACGTGCCATGAAAACTGGCAGAAAATAGTAAAGGTTGTATTTATTTAGTTGGGGAATATTATTTTTGATTAAACAACTCCATCAGGAGCGGATCTGAAAAAGTCCATCTAAAGCTCATTGTTCATTTTGGACAAGACTACCACACTTCACACACCACAGAAATCCCCTTATTTTTAAGAGGTTTTTTTCAATACATGACTCAAGAGAAAAAAATGTAGTGTTTCTTCAAAGGTTGAAGTTTGACGATGTTTAAACTGTACAAGCTGTAGAAGTCTCTTCTCCATCAGACATTTCACATAGACGGTCTTTGACAGTCTCCCTTTAAACAAAACCAGTTAAAGACAGTGTTTCGGTGTTCTCATTTGTTATTACCCTAATTGATTTATCCTTCATGATCTGTTTATCAGGAAATTGTTTTCATTTAATAAACATCTTAAACAAATCTACAAAAGAATTCCCTTTAAAGCTAGGGCAAATGGTAAATTCAGATTCCACCCTCCCAGAACCACATCTAGCAGCATTTTTGAAATCCATTTTCGCATAGTTCTCTTATCTGTTCAAAGACAACTAACAATCCCTCACACTTGAGATAACCATGAAACTAAGAAAAATACTTTCCTCCTTCCTAAATGCTGACAGAAAATGTTTTCGCAGAAGTTACTCCTTTTACAGTCTAACTCATTTGTCTATTTCTCATCCATGCCATCCATGCATTAAGCCACAGAAGTAGGTATTTAGTCACATACAGAAAACACTTCTATTTACAACTAAGGGCAAAAGTTTAGAGATCCTTCTCAGAGGAAACAACCAGAGGAGCTCTGCTGTCCCTCAGAAATGGAGTTTTGCCTGAATAAAGCCTGAACAGTTCAGTACTTAAATGCTGATGTCAGGCACCTCAGAAAGTTTTCTCAAATGATAAGAGGGGGAGTCCAATAGCTTTTTGTTTCTCCAATATTTAGCATTGTAGTCACCTTGAAGGTGACTTTGCTAACCCCTTTATTAAACAGAAAATGACTTCCTATTCCTTAACTTACCCAGTCTGATGGTGTGAATCCCCCACTGCCCTCCTGGGAACTCCCAGGTATCAGAAAGATTCTGGTGTGACATTAGATTTGCAACAGACATAAGAGCTGAAAACATACTTAGGAGTTTAACTTGTTTCTGCGCGACACAAATCATTGCATTGAAGAGATGTTTGAATAGATGGGGAAAATCAGGCATCCAGTATCAGTGACTTTCAAATGGCAATAAACACATAGTCATATGTGTATTTCAGAGTTTCTCTACATGATACAGAACATTCCCCACTAACTTGTAATTAGTTGTTACACTATTCTATTACCAGTTTTGAGAAATACTACTCACCTATATCTGGAATCCAGAATAAATCTTAATATATTGGTGCCTTCACAGCATTAATTTTTTGAGTATACACACTTAAATACCTGAATTACTCTTTCAGCATTAGTATTATTTTTAGAAATATTTCTAAGAAGTAATCTTTAGGTACAGTCACCTGATTTAGATTTGAAAATATCTATCCACAGCTTTAAATTAATTCTCTCATTTCTCTGGTGAGCCAGAATAAGGTAATAAAGATTCTGTTTAGACCAAAAGGGAATTATGAAGCATGCTATACGTTAAGAAATACTGTATATAGTTCTGCCATTAGAAAGAATATAAAAATTTTCAATGTCTAGCACTTTCAATAATCTGTAACCTAGTACCTAGCTTGAATGAAAAACTCTGAACACTTCCTTTTCACTGTAGACATCCTGACCTGCTCCATTCAGCTCACTGTTTTGCCCTTCTCAAATTTCTTCTTTTCTTTTTGCAAAGAATTTGGTTAGACAAGTCTAACGGCAACACAGGAATTATCATGCTGGATCATTAGCCTAGTGTGTTTTCTTTAAAAGTCACTAGTTCCAGACTGATCCCATTCTTGTTCGTTTTGTGAAGGCTGCCATATGGAATACGGCCAAATTTTAATTATCTAAATGATAAGCATTCTATAAGTCTGTCCTCCATTCTGAACACAAGTATTTTGATGTAAGGTAAAACCAACTATTTACAGGATTAACAAAGTAAGATTGCAGTATACTTTGAAACCATGTTTCAATTTCAAGACAGCGTTCAACTGTCTTCAGTTGTGTCTAAGGCTTAGGTTTTTTGAATAACAGTTTACTTACATATTTGTTATAGTCTCAAATACATTTTTTATACTGTGTGATGCTAACCTCCTTCCTTCCAAGAACAGTAGCTTAAGTGTTTTGCAATGGACTTAAAAATATATAGTATAAAGAGGTTAAAATGTATTTCACAGACAAAATCTAGCACATGATTTTCCAGGACAAAGACAGCAAATGATACATTCACAAATAAAAAGATGAACATACCTTTCAATTCACTACTAATCTTAGGTGGATCAAATGAAACAACCTCATCTGATGTAAACGTAAGATCCTCCTCAAATGTCTCAACATGCTGCCCATTTAAAAATAGGCTGATCTGGAAAAAAACACCCATTTTCAAACTGTCAAAGTCGAAATCCAGTGCGACATGAATAAATAAAGTATATTTCTAATTAAATATTGATCTGGCACATTTTCAGTAACAGCTTTACGGATAAGGTTCTGTCGCTCCCTTTTAAAAAGTCACAATAACAATAATGATCCATTATAAACCTAAAAGAAATTGAAAAAAGCATAAAAATCAAAGAAATGCTCTATCCAGTTGGGTATGTTTTAAAGGAAGACAAATCCCTCTCTTGCCATGTCTCTCTATACACAGCAGCACTACATTGAATTTTGTGTCACAACTCTTGACAGCTGGATCCCAAAACTTGAAAGCTTCCAGCTCTTCCATGATATAATCCCCTTTTCTTCTTAATGTCACTGTCCGTATTAATGACAAAATTCTCTTTGGATCCTATATTCATCTTCAAATAAATTTTGTGAAAGTGACTTACAAAAAATAAATTAATACTGGATATTTTGGGTTTATGTTGAGATGAAAATATGAAATGAAAAAATGCCAGGCTGTTCATCTTGCATGATGAGCTCTCCCTGCCTGCCCACCCCCAAAGAAATCTGAAAAAATACATAGTCAAGTGTGCTATTTCATTAGCTGACTGGGCTATTCACTTAAGATGAAAGCAAAGGTTTCTCTGGTTAAATCATACAGCACAATCACGTAGAAAAATCAACTGCATCCATTTCATCTGCATTGGAGACTCCCAGTACTAAAGACTCAGACATACAATCAGGTTACACTGCCACAACAAAACAATATACACCAACTTAGCTGCAGCAGTTATCAGTGCTCAGCTGTCAGCAAATGCAAGATAATTCTACTCAGCCCTCTTTCTTACGATAGTTCTTAGAGAGTAACTAATAGTGACAAAGGCCTCCAATGCTTATGCAAGAGGAAGATTAAAAAAAAAAAATTTTTCAGAAAAGCTGTTCTTGCCTTCAGTAGGTTTTTTAGGAATTTTTCTCCCTAGGGAAAAGTTTTAGGTTACTTTTTAAACATGAAAAGGCACACATGGAAAATAACTATTGTTTGCACTGTGAAACCACTGCTGATCTATGATAAAATCAGGACAATTGCATAAGAGCAGTGGAAACAAACGAGATATTGAATCCAAACTGACACCCTGAGAGGTGTTATCAAACACAAAACAAAAGAACCCACTGTGGCAATGGTAACATGTCTGAAAATCTCCTTATGGAGTTTTTTTTTGTTATAGGTCAAATGCTGAACTAGAGCAACTAGACTCTTTGTAACTGAACTTCCAATCTAGAAAAGTAGTTAATTCATACCTTATTTACTCTGTAATCTCTAGCTAGACCACTGTTGTTAATACATGGCTAAAACTTTGAATCCAGGACTTAAATCACTTACACCACACTTTTACATAACCTTTAATATTACTGCAGTACAATAGTGATAGGTCACATGGCATTTTGTTAATAGCGTATCAGTGCATTCATCAGATTAGTTACCTAGAGCAAGGATTTTGATTTTCTGTACTGAAAAGAGTATATGAGACACTGCTTTCTTTCCCTGCTAAATTAGGTTACTATTTAATCTCAACAGCGTTTTACCAAGTCTGGAACACAGTGCTAGTTAGTAAGTTTACGTTTAATTTGATGAACAAAACAGGGGTAGGTTAAACTTCCATAAAAATAATAATTTCATATTAAACTTGGCAAAGACAAGCCATTTGTATAAAGCAAAATGTAAGTGACCATAAAAATAAGTACTTAAACTTCTTTAAATGACAAGGCGGGTTTTTTTTTTTAATGCTTTTCCACTATGCAGAGTTTATAAACTTGGTTTTAATAACTAAATAGCATCTCCTCTGTAAAATTAATCTTAAATTATTTCCCACTAACGCAGAGTAGTACTCAAACAAAAATGTAACACTGGGGCTTATTTGTGCTAAGCACTGCATGCATGTTAAAAATTAAAATGAAACAATCCTTTTCTGAAATGCTTAGAATACTTAAATTGATTACTGATAATTTTTTTACAAAGTTGTTTTTTTAATCAATTGGGTTTTGTTTGCTGGCTTTCTCCCTCCCCCTCCCCCTTCATTTGCTGCCTGTGCTCCTAAGGCTTCTCTTCATCACCCTAAGCAGAAGCCTGTCACAATACTTGTGGTCTAACACAGACCAACATCCTGGCCCTTGGCCACTTTCTTGATGGTGAATGAGTGAGAAAGCTCTTACTGAGTGCGAAGCATCATTATTAGGATGCCTTGGCATGAGATGCATGCAATAGCTAAGTGTCAGTTAAAGGCCTCTGAAAAAGAAGGGCATATATGCAGTTCTGTCCGCAGTCTCCAAAGGATAGATTAGTATCTCATGGCATTCAGAAAAGCAGAGACCAACATTTATATATCCAAACATTTTACGTTTTCAGTAAAACCAGTTTCTTCAAGTTTATCTTGAAGACTTCAACCTACAGAAGTACATTCATAACAGAAAAGAAGTAGGGCTCTAGCTCAACGTTTCGTCTTACACTGTCATTTCTCACCTAGGACTGCCTACTCATCTGAACCATAACTTCTCAGACTGAAAGAAACTATTGTTGTGAACTGAATAGGGCCAGAAAGATAGATCTCATTCACAGGCTCCTCCATGATGCTCATCACAATAGTCTCACAGGCTTTCATAATTTTACAGCTTTTGTAATGTAGGTAAGAGCAGAAATTACTACTCCCGTTTTTACAGACAGGGTATTTGGAAGGAAAAGACCCAACTCTCTGTTAAGGTAAAACCTGCATGAATCAGGAAATACACTGATTTTAAAAGTGTATTTCCAGTAGTGTACACAAAAAAGTAGACACACCCCCCCAAAGTCAGAAGATGTGTCAGGTTCACAAGATTAACGTTCAACTCTCTGAACACCCAACTGCCTTCTCTTTAAAGAGGAACCATTAACTTTCAACAAACACATAATTTTCATAAGCATTCTTTGCAAACGCAGTAAAAATAATTCAAACCTACAATTCTAGGAACCTGAAAAGAGATATTCCGTTTTGATGCAAGGTATTTCAAAATTCACAGCAATTAAAATGCAAGGTTGGCAAGTTCAACTGTTGTAAAACATTCTGTGTGATAACATTAGTCTCTGGGAAAATATTTTTTAATCAAAATTACCAGAATACTTTGCAGTTTTAGGACTCAAAGTCACTGAAAAATGCCAGAGTCAGCAGAACTTTTCAAATGACTTCAAAGAGAACAGACCAGGCTTTAAGCAGTAAGTCCTACCTGAACATTGCTTTTGGGATAATAGAAGAAAAATGGCTTCAAAACTGGAGACCTAGACACATAAAACAACAAGCATAAATGCATTTAACCAGAAATTAATGAAAATGTCAGATCATACATCTTTAGATTATTCATACACTAGACAAACACTTGGAAATTAAAAGCTATTTAGCCATGATTACCAATGGTTTTCCAAACAATTTTGGAAAGCCTGAGAAGTGCAGAAATTCCTTAAATTTCATTATTAAGAAAGTAAGATTTTGTTAAAAAAAAAAAAAAAAGAAAGAAAATTTTTTTGGGCGGAATAGCCAAAATAGTGAAAATATTTTCTTGAAAAAGGATGCACTTCATGACATTGAAGTCTATTGCACTGTGATTAGCGCCACATTGATATCTACGCTAGTTACACAGAGCTACTGGAAATACGTCTACAGTTTCTTCCCCCATCTCCATATGCAAGACAGACATACCGAAGTATTTGCTTAGGGACAGGAAAGTTTTAGATGCTCTCATGAGTAAGTATGGAAAGGTGAGCATATAAATCACCAGCAGATTTTAGCCATAGAAAAGTACTGAATCAAACCAGGATTTTTTTTTTTTTTTTTTTTTTAATATGCTCAACATTATTCTGTTCGGCTTGCTCACGTAATGGGTTCATGATAACAATCTTTGGGATGTTCTGGGACACTTGACCTCACATTTCTAGGTGAAGTGGGCTGGTACAGACATAAATTTGCTGTGCCCATATGCCAAACTAACAGGTACAAGAGAAATCTGGTCCAGAAATCTGCATGTATTGGCACACGCTTGAGCTACTGCCCTGCCATAAAGTCAAATTTAAAGTTCTCTACAGCTCATTAAGCAAAGACATTGTTATGAGCTGATCAGAGACTTATGTAACTCATATTCAATAATTCAATAAAGAATTTTACTAGTTGCATACATATCTTGTAGCACTCACTATTATCTTGTTATCAGTTATTAAGCATAGTGTGCACTGGAAAGACTTTAGTTGCTTCCGTGGTTGCTGTTTCAAGGTGGGGAAGCTTGTGATGGTGAGTGGTAGGAACACCGTCATCACACATTACAAGAAGTTAATGATCAGAAGTTAACTTACACTCTGGGGCGCCCTCCAACAATTCCAGTGAGGCCAGGTGCTGGAAATGGAAATAAAATTCACAAAAGAACCATTAAAGCCATCTTCAAAACACCAGAGCTCATAGCTTACTGTAGCTTGAATCGTTTCCTATAATGCAGATTTAATAAATACTGGGAAATATCTAGCAAATTACGTATATTCTCATAAATTAACAAAACTGAACATTTTATGTAACAGTTAAAAAGGCAAAACATGTAAAAGGTACTGTGACTTTTAACAAAAAAAAGAATTTGTTTCAAAATGTGCAAAGTATAAACTAATTTGGAAGAAGAACCTAAAGATTATTTTGTATACCAATGCCAGTCAGGCGATACATTTGATGGAAAAAGAAGTTAGCTTTGGGTTTTTTGTTGCTGTTGTTTTATTTACTTTTAAAGAGAGCAGAGAAACAATTCTGACCTGAACCATGGTTTGTTTTAATATTTGTTTAATATGACTTTTCTTATTAGATTAACTGTTTCAGATTAACTTGCATCTTTCTCTTTAGCATTATCACTGGCTAGCTTTGCTTTCTTAAGGTGCTGGGTACTGCAGATCCCATTCTCTGTCTTTGGTACATAGGTAGTTTAGGGGCTTAAGTCATAAGCATGATCCTAGATTTCAGTAAGTCAGCATTGACTGTGATTAGACTCTTGTTTATTCTCAGTATCAGGTTGCCAGGCTTTACGACCATCAAACCCATCTACCCAGCTCAGTATTTCTGGAAGAAACAGTTCTGCTCTCCTCATCCTGAGCATAGCTTCTTACC